CTGGAACTCTTTCAAATGCATCTAGGACTGTCTAGATGTGCTCATACTTGTACAAAATGCCTTGAAAAAAGTGTGTGCACAGAGGCAACATGTAAATGAAAAAAACATACAATGAAAGCTTTGTGACGCGTTTTATTTCTTAACAAAAGTTTGACAACAAAATTTATTCAAAACGTACGTGGTAGCTTACTTCTGTTGACCTTATTAGGAAAAGTTTCATTTAATCATAAATTGAAAAGTCACAGTTTGAATGACTAATTTGATTTTTTGCAACAAAAGCCTGACTGCATAAGCACAAACGATGAGCCAACAATAACTAGTTTCCTAAAAGGAAATACCTTATAAATGGCAGGATGCATTGGATCAAGTTGGAAAAATTTTGATTCAAGATCAGGAAGCTGAGTTCCTCGCTCATATTGAGGCAAATGCCGGAACAATTCAACTCTGTTTTTAGCTTCTGTTTGATGGACCACTGCACGCCTTTTTGCCTTCTCCACTCGACTCTTATCATCAAACTGCATACGTGGAGGAGGAACATCTTTCTTCCTTTCCTTATCTGGTGGTCGATCACCCCCCTTTCTTTCAGAAGCAGCCACCGAAGGTGCAACTTGAGAAGTATCCTTCTTTTGCACAGCCTGCTTCGCAGGCTTAGCTGCCTTACCAGTAGCGCCACCTCCAGTTACAGCAGCAGGTTTTTTCCCCTCACCTGTATTTTTACAAGGTTGGGGAACCATAAGAACAGTTAATACATGGGTATTGAGGGGAGCTCCAAACATACAAATAAACCAAATTGAAAGAGGTAAAGAAACAGATCAGTATTTCGTACTAAATACACAATTAGACTCGATTTTACTTAATCTTTGTTAAAATGTAAAACTTATAAATGATGTTTACAACATGTCTGTATGCAATTAACAAGTAATTCAGTCGCTCCTTTGAGAAGTCGTCAATTGAAATTGAGCAATCATTACACGTCAAACTGAGTGCGAGCCACAGTACAAATTACGGCATGTTTAGATTCACAAAACTCCTTTGTAAGTGACTTGATTTTTCTTCTAGAACACATTAATCAGGCAATAGCAGCTACACAACCAAAATACTGCGGGATTAAAAAGGATCACTTTCAAACCTCTAGCAGCGGCTTTTGCAGCGCGTTGAGCCTCTTGCAAGGCACGCCTTTCCGCTTTTGTGGTCTTGGCTGTCAAAGGTTTTGAATTTGCCGGAAGTTTTTTCTGCGATTCCGCAACCGCCTCTCCACTCTTTTCTGCACAGAATTGCAAGCTTTAACTAATTAGCACAAACACTATAACCAACCTAAACTTTGCATTTGCAATACTTAACTAATTAACGAAAATATCAGCAAATTATTACACAATGCACTCGTACAAATAATTTCAAATTGGCCCCAATGCCATAACTTCAATTCAATTTCTCAAAGCAATTAAATTACCAGGAACTTCAGCAGCCGTCTTCAATGCTGCGGATTCGAATCCTACGCCGGGCAAGCTCGAAGCCATCTTTCCGGAGCCGCTCCGCCGATACCAACGGGCCGAGGACTCATCGGAGAACTCGAGTCCATCCCCAACGCGACTCGAAGGCGAGGCTGACACCGGCGAGGTCCCTAACAACGACTCCGAGGGATTATAGCTGCCCACCGGCACGTCGCCGGATTCCGTGCGCCGCAACGCCGAATCCGGTACCGGCACGGCAGCCGTACGGATCACGACTGTGTCGGAAAGGTGACGCCACGGGGGGATCATGACGGGAGAGAGTGAGTTGCTGGCCGGAGATTCGGAGAGAGGAGAAGGGACTGTGATTGCCGGGCCGGACTGGGTCCGACACGGTGGGGCTTCGGCGACGGGGGTGAAGAACCCGACTTGGCGGACCTTGGGGTCGATCACGGTACGGGAGACGCGACGCGCGTCCATGGAGCGTGAGAGAAAGTCTCTAGGGTACGGATTTTGGCGGTGGAGGGAGAAGGAGGTGGCTGTTAAATTGTTAACGGTGAAGGCGGAGGAGGATTGGATGCCGTGGAGAGTTTTTCTAACGTGGACTCCGGTTTCGTATTGGTCAAGTTTTAAAGCTTTGTTATTTTGACCAGTTGCTGATTAATAACTTGTGAAATTTTAGTCTTCAAACCTTTTTTAATACCAGTGATATTATTATTTTAATTTATTATTCGTTCTATTCTTATTCAAATTTTATGACTCGTCGAGAAAAACAAGCTCTTTTTCATGTGGATGATAATTTTGAAGTTTTGAATCCATATAAAAAAATGACACTAAACATAATTGTGAATATTTTTGCAAATATATTTTTTGTCTCAAAAAAGAGTTTTTTTTAAAAAAAAACTTAAACAAAAAACTCCGGATATTGTTCATTTTAACGAAAAATCACATTTTTATACTAAAAATTTAATCATGTTACTATTTACTTTACCTTTTATTTTGTACTTATGGTTAAAACTCAAAGTTTTCAAACATTTTTCATTAGTTTTTTTTTTTTTTTTTAACGTTTTGAATCCGCATAAAAACAAGCTCTTTTGAAGACAAAAAATATTTGCATAATTGTGTTCTCTTTTGAACACAATTTTCATTAAGCGACACTAATTATATTCGCATGAAAAATGGCACTATAAACATAATAATACTTTTCATTAAATGACACTAATTATATTCGCATAAAAAATGGCACTACAAACATAATAATGAAGAAAAAGGACACTGAAATATTTAAATAAAGTTACAAACATAATCAGTATTAGTGGTACCCAAAAGTACTTAACAGCTCACATGCAATTATTTGCAAATTCTTGACCAATTAGGATAAATGCATTTTTAGGTATATCTACAATGTGGTTACCTTTAATTATTTATTTATGGATCCTTTTTTAGTCACTCATCACTTACCAATCCATAACAAGATAATATCCTTGTCTTCTACTACTACCTTTGATTTGATCTGATCTAATCTTCTGCTACCTGCTAAACACCATGGGACCAACAAATTAATTGGTGTTAACATATGGAAGACTTTGCGTGCAACTCCATGTTATATAACAGTATTTTAAGTCAATTATATACTGTCATGTGATTAAATTAAAACGCATGAAAATAACAGTATGTGATTAACTTATAAGAATGTTAGAATTGCGTTTAAGCGTCTCGGTGTGGATAGGTTTCTCTTGTTAAGATGTATCATGTATGAACAATAAATCATCTATCACATTCTCTCTATTTGTCCCCATCTCCAACAAGAAAAAAGAAGAAAAAAATCTCATGAATTAATTGTCTGGGACAAGATGAACCACTACATGCGGTCTTTACATATTTTGATGGTGAAATAAAACAAAAATTGCAGAGTTTCTGAGGATGTGCTAATCATAGTGAGCTTTCTGGGCTGCAGCTACACTTGCAGCATTTGCAGTTTCTCGTAAAAACTGCAACTCCACCAGGAAGCAAGTGTGCTCTGCTGTCAATCCTCCAAGCATCATATAAAGAGAAAACTGAACTTTTTGTTGCTCACATTGTTTGAACTTGTATAGTGTTCTAGTAGTTTAAACGAAAAGGCAGCGGAGATTTACATGCTCGATCAATGCTGCCATTGCTTGTTTGTAGTCTGAGAACCAGAGAGGAAGGTTCTTGTGGGAGATATGAAGCAGTGTGGTTTGGTGAAGCAGCAGCTAGAGGCGGCCAAGAAAATGATAGCTGAAATGTAGAGGAATATGGAATATTCCGGCGCGAGTGACGTGACGGGGAGGTGGTTGGTGGTGGGAGAAGAAGTTTCTAGGTTTCCCAAGGTGAAATGTGTATTAGAGATGAAATAGTTGAGAAGAAGCTGAAAGGTGTGAAAAATGTTGACTTGCAAGTATTGAAGATGAAGAGTAGGAACAAAGAGCTTGAGCTAGAAAATAGGGAATTGGCAGTCAAATCGGTTTGTGCACAAACCAGAATCACTACTTTGTCTAGCATGAATCAGGTACATGATTCTTTGTTTAATTAGTTTATACAATAACTGCAAACATTAGTGAAGAAAACTTAAACTTCACCCCACCCCCACCCCACTTTTACTCAAATATTGATTTATCTATTTTTTTTGTATATTTGTTTAATCTATGTTAAGTCTGTTAATCGATGATATACAATATTTTTGGCCTATTTTCACTTTACTATCGAAATTTGTTTTGTTTCATTTTTGTAAACATAATTAATTAAAGATTAACGAAAAAAATTAACGGATAGAATAACAAATGTAGAGAAAAGTAGTATGATTGAAAATTAACGTAAGCGAGACGAGAAAAAAACTTTAGGTACGTAAAGTAGGAAATTGGGAAATTTAAAGGTAGGAAAATGAGAATTACTGCTATCTGAAAAGCATGCCATAATAAAGGGCATTTTGAAAAATAAGCTTCATCCGTTCACCAGATGCCATCTGTCCATCTAATATTCACCAAAAAGATTTGGATCAACTAGATTTCATCAGCCATCCAACTGTCACAAATCCATGATATATATATATATATATGTGTATGTGATGATGATGAACTAGTAATTAGTGTGATTAAAATTGGGAGGTAGATTGTTTATCCTTCCGTTTAGGTACACTTCTCATTCATTCTTATTTTGTACGGTCACGGTAAAATCATATCAACATTGTATATTAATTTTTTTATAAAGATAATAAGATAAAAAATAATAAAAATATAAAATATTGACGTAACTTAATCATAATTACACAAATAGAAGAAGATGAAAAAGATAACCAAAGGGCAGACAATCTGCCTCCTTAAAATTGATCTAGCTTTCTACAGTTTACCTACACCACGTAGAAATGGAGTCCTCCACGGAATTCCATGAGCTTTGTAACTAAAGAAAAGGTCAAGTAATCTCACACACACCACACTCATCTAGCTCTCACGAAAACTTGTTCCGCCCTCCACGTGTTCCCATGCATGTCCCCATACTCAAAGCCTCCCCACACCTGTCCCCCTCCACCCACTTTAACAACTCCCCCACTTCTCACTCTCTCTCTCTCTCTCTCTCTCTCTCTCTCTCGGAGCATCCATGGCTGACCGTCACCAAAACCCAACACAAACCCAACAGCAGCAGCAGCCGCAGAGAGCTCGGAGACCCAGCCCTAACACCCCCACAAATTCCTCAATATTCCTACGTAAACTCCAAGGCCATGCACCCAACTCCACCCAGCTCGTCGGCTTTCTCACCCTCCTCGTCTCCGGCGCTATTCTCCTCCTCCTCACTGGTCTTACCGTCACCGCTACCGTCCTCGGCCTAATCATCTTCACCCCTATCATCATCATCTCCAGTCCCATATGGGTTCCCCTCGGCGCTGTCCTCGTCCTCACGGCCGGCTTCTTCGTGTCCATGTGCGGGTTTGGCGCCGCGGCCGTGGCTGGTTTGTCTTGGATGTATAGGTATTTCAAGGGGATGCACCCGCCCGGTTCGGACCGGGTTGACTACGCCAGGAGCCGGATTTACGATACGGCGAGCCATGTCAAGGATTATGCTAGAGAGTACGGCGGGTATTTGCACAGTAAGGTCAAGGATGCAGCTCCCGGTGCTTAAACCAAAGATCAAGCTAGAGGATTTGGGTTTTTCTCACCGGTCCGGTTTATTGTTGAATGTTGAGCCTGCAGATATGTTGGGCCGGTTTTTTTTTTCTCCTTTACTTTTCATGTCTCTGATATTTGGTTTGTTTGCTTTTTTCTTTTTTTAGTTTAAAAAATTTTATTTTTCATTTTGTGCTCTGATTTTAAAGGCTTCATCTAGTACATGGTTTTTTTTTTGTCAAATCTAGTACATGGTTTGGGCTTTGGCTCTTCGTTTTGGTTATGGTTTTTGGTGGTGGAAAGGAATCTACTTTTGCATGGACCCAAAAATATTCGACCTTTTCTTACCTTTTTTCCCCTTTTGATTTAATGGAATTCATGAATTGTTTTTTTTTTTTTTGGTAACAAAAAGATCAGGGGAGGGCAGCTATCCCGTCCCTAGAGCATACCACAGTTTTCTTTGAGGACTTACAGGACTAGAGTTTAAACAGTTCTCTTTAAGGGGCCTTAGCTCTTTTAGATTTTTACATTCTACTTGAATTGGAAATGTGGAACAACAGAATAGAACAAAATAAGCAACCTTATAGGAAAACACTTTAAATTTAATACTTAATCTAGAAACAAATCCTGCAATAAATTAACTTGGTAAAATGGGGAAGTCCAATTTTTCTTCTGACATTGAAAATAAAATATTTAATAGTTAGGAGAATTAAATATAACAGTTAAAAAATGCACTTAGTATTACGTGGCATTGAAGCTAGGTTTGGCACATTGGTCGTGTTTGTTATGTTTGTGTAATTTTCATATCATATCCGTTATTTAAATGGGTTACCAAATAAATCTAATAACGACCTTATTCATTAACCAGTCATGTCATTTCTTGCAGGTTAATGGGTTATGTAAGAAATTGTTATACCTAATGGTTAGATTTGGTAAACGATATTATTATATAGTAAACGATATTATTATCGGATTTATAACCGATGATTTTTATCGGGTTTTTAACCGGTGATAATAAATACCCGATATCCGATATGTTAACGGGTTACCCAATAATGGTCAAATTAGATACAAAAAAATCCGATATGTTAACGGGTTATCCAATAATATTAATGTTTTCATATCGATTCGCGTCGATTCATGTCGGGTTCCGGGTCGTAAAAAATTGTTAGCCTTAATTGAAGCCATACCCTGGAAAGTCATGAAAGAAAAATTTCATAGTTATTGTAGATTGAGGTTTTTTTTTTTTTATCGCATATTTCCGTTGAACTATGGTATAATAAATTGTCGGAACTTACTCCGAATTGACCTTACGAGTCAAACCCAAGGAACTGGTCAATGTATACTTGCTTCCTATCTTTTCTCATCAAGTACCAAAAATCAAAGTCAAAGAGAGAACCAATTATCAGCATGTCGCGGGTGTCGTACCAAGCATTCCATTTGAACAAAGGAAACTAATTCCATTTGAACAAAAAAAAATTAATGAAAAGACCTTGAAAACTTTGAATTTTAATTAAAATGACAAAAAGATGTGCTAAGTGAATAGTACTGTGAGTGATTTTTTAGAGTAAAAATATCATTTTCGTTAAAAATGAACAGTACCAGAAATGTTTTGTTAAAACTTCCTTTAAACAATCGAGAACATGACTTTATTTTCTTCTACAAATAACATGCATGTAATTCAATATTCAAAGAAACCATTTTTTTCTTTGGAGATGTCGGCAGACCAAAGTCATTTTTTACACACATAATTAAAGAATAATTCATTAAGTTTTGAAAGTATTCATCAAATTTATCAAGGTTGACTTCAAATGATAAGTTTGTAAGAATCATGTATGTGATTTATATACAACCTTTGGGCAACTGGTGGAGCCAGTCTTTTGTGTCTGTGTGTTCGGAGTACTTTGTAGGGCTAAAACTTAGGTCATTTTATGCCTCTCTATCTTTTCGCGTGACATTTCACGTGAGAAGAGATATCACGTGAGGAAGAAATAGGTATGTAATGTGCCACTAGCAAATTGTGAGGAGAAATAGCCATATGTGAAGAGAAACAGGCATATTGTGAAGAGAAACAAGCATAGAGTATACGTAGGAGAGAATTTGTCACGTTACGTTGCACATGAAAAAAGAGATAGGAGTACACGATATTTCACGTGAGAAGGAGATATCACATGGGGAAGAAATAGGCACGTAACGTGCCACGTACAAATTGTGAACAAACATAGGCATAGAAATTACGTAGGAGAGAATCAGTCACGTAATGTTGCATGTGAAAAAAGATATAGAAGTACACCGATATTTCACGTGAGAAGAGATATCATGTCAGGAAGAAGTAGGCATTTAACGTGCCATGTGCAAATTGGGAAGAAAAATAGGTATAGCGATTATGTAGGAGAGAATTTTATCTTGTAACGTTGCACAAGAAAAAATAAATAGGAGTATGCACAAAAACATTAAGGGTATTATGTGGTGAGAAGATACACAGGCTCTCAATTTGTAGGTAACTTGGTTTATATGGATTCTTTGTTCGTTTCAAAGGTCGGATTTGCGTATGTTGTTTGCGTATAGGTTTTGGTAAAGGATTCTTGAGGGTATATATATGTTCCCCCTTGACATCACATTAGAGATTAGAGATGATCTTTTGACCTCTTCTAATGAATGATTATTTGTTGAATTAAATAATGTAGAATTAGAATATTGCACACTTAATTTTTTTAAAAAAAAGGAATTTGTAACATCAGTATTTCCTACTTGCCATCATCTTTTAAAAAGATAATATATTCTGAGAGAGATTGAGACGCCATATGTGCACCATTAGTGGATCAAAATGAGGCCTAGCTATCTAGTGTTAGTGCGTCATTAGTCGATCACAATTTATTCCAAGTGCAGTTTTTGACAAGATTGTGTTTGTAATTTGTTGGTTTAGAGTTTAGACCACACATTCATTTGGTAAGAAAGCCGATAAAGCAGACAAGTAAGCTAGTGGTCTAGAGTAGTGGAATCTGTGCATCCGAATTCGAATTTCTCTACTTGTAAAAGAGTTGTAAATATTACATTAGAAACGAATGAAAATAAAATACAACGGGATACTAACTTAAAGATGACAAGGTCATACATTTGGGAAAAAAAAAAACTTTAGTTAGATTACCTAACCAACTAATTAATCTTAGTTTGATGAAATAATTTCACGTCATTAGTTATTTGTCTCATAGACTTCTAATGAAAAATCTCTCAATAGTATTAATAACTATGCAATTGTTGTATTGTCGATATCAATATTATAAACGACATATACAATCAATAATGTGTCAATATCGATTAATCGAGTCAGCCAACTGCTCAAGGGTGTTGAGCAAATAATTAATAACTAAAAACCCACGAGCCTTTTTTATTAAAATTTAAATTCACCCACAAATTAAAGTGGTTGCAAAATCCAAATGTGCTCAATATGTACACAAGACTCCGCCCCTAAACACACGGGAGGGAGGAAGTTCGACTACCTTGTTCCGACGCCAACGACGTCGTACGTTGACTGTGGCCCTGAAAACCCATACATGCGCCCACCAATAAGAATTCACATGCGTGACACGTGACGACACAACAGTTGCAAACCACGAAAACAAAACAAAATTAAATACAAAAAACAAAACAGACAAATTAACGCCGGAAAACATTTCGTTTTCTCCGACGAAACACTTGAAATTTATCAGCGCCGTCAGTTTCGGTTGACCCTTTCGAGGTACCCCGGCATCGGACTTGCACGTGGGGACCGGAGGGGAGCTCCGTTAAGTTTCTTCCCGTTACTATCGTAGTAAATTGCGCCCGAGAAATCCAACGGCTCGCACTTATCCCCCATCAGGATCGACCTCTGCCATACCCCACCGTCCCCCCACTCCTCCTCCTCCACGGCGTGGGCCGTACCATCCGATTCCTCGCCGATCTTTTTCCGGTGCAGGAAGGTGACGGCCTTGTTGCTTATGGTCGACATCAGCTGCTTGGGCTTTCTCATCATCGGCGACTTATTTGGCGCGACATCCGAGTGGTTGTTGTTTTTTATCAGCTTGGAGTTGGAGGCTTTCAGCTTCCCCGAGAGGCGGCGGCCGATGGCAAGGAGTGCCGAGATGGAGACCAGCATACGGGCTTTGGACTTCAGGCGCATCGACGAGTCCGAGTCGGAATCGGCGCTTGCATGCAGATGACGAACCATGTTAGAGATTTTTCAGTGTGTCTGAAATACTAACGGAAGGAAAATCGGCGGGGAGGAGTTGTTTGGAGGTATGACCGTATGGGGGTGTTTTGGTGGTGGTGGTGGTAGTGGGTGCAATGAGAGAGGTGTTAAGTATGGTGGTGGGTATAAATAGGGTGAAGAATGAGTTTAGGTGACCGGTTATTGCCGGTGGATATTATTTTTTTCCATTTTTGGGTGGAAGAGTCAGGGGTGAACCGGTGGGTTTTCGGGTTGACTTCCAATAGGGTAAGAAGTTGGTATTGAACAACTATGAGAGCAATGATAGGGTGTAGTAGTGACACATTGATATTTTGATGTACTTCTTATAAAAGCAAATAAATTTCCATATTCTCATAAAATTGTGTAACTAGCGCATTGTATTTGGATTTATGATTCTTTTCATATTTGTTGCATTTCCTTTTTTGGCTTTTGGTTTTTAATTTGGGTTGGAAATTAAGGAAATAAAATCTCAATTTTTGTTTCCAATAGTATGAAAAAATTACCAACTTTCCTTCGGTGGATGTTTCTTATGTCTTAATTATTGTGTACTTTTCTAAAGCATTAAAGAAAATTACAAACTTTCTTAAATGATATGAGTCGTTTATTCTTATCTAACAGATAGCAAATATCGGCAATGCTAGAAAAACCGCAATTATAGTCTCTTAATAATTAAACAATCATATCATCTTCTTTTATTTTTTGTTGACAACGAAGCATAAGCCTAGAAGAAAAAGAAAGATTACATAAGAATATCACGAAACTCCAACTATATTTGCAATTAGCAACCGACGACAATAAGGAGGAGCTTACTAAAAAGAGATTGGACCCAAATTGCATGACAAACTCAAACGAGCCAAATCATCACCAACAAACTTCTTTTCACAGTAGATATGTCGAATTTCATAAGACCAACTTTGATCGCACAACAATTCATTGCCAAACTTTCCAAAGGGTGATTATCTACTATAGCATTTAAAATCAATTGTACAGCAAGTGCAGAATCCAATTCCACCATAATTTTCTTTATTATTTATTCTCAAAATCCACTTGTTTTCTTTCCTTTTATCTCATTACACAATTTTGTCCCTATATCGCTAAATTTAAAGTTTATATTTATCTACAATGATGTGTTTGGTATATAAACTTTTTTTGTTTACACGAGTGTGAGTTGTTTAAAGAAACTTTTCCGATGAACGTAATGGAATATGTTCCAGGCACCTGAGAGCCACAGTAAATATGCTACGTAATCCTGCTGAGTGCTGAGTCATAGTAATTAAAATCAAATTATCAAAACTGTGCATCTTGCTTATGTAATATATCAAAGTGGACGGCCGGGATTGGATATATAATTACTACTGGTAAGTTGCAGATGAGATGGGGTTCCACTTCTAGGGTCGTGATTGGTCCGTGTAGAGAGGGCCATTTTGTTTTGGTCTGAGTAGATTGGAAGACCTTTTACTTCTTGGCATGCAACTAGCTTAAGCTGAGAAAGAGAGAAGTGGACCAAGTGGTTGTTGAGTCAACTCGCATTGCAAGTAGTTTCAGTGAAGTTTGCAATTAAAGACATAATCACGCCAAACCAAGTCTTATCTTTTAACTTATGGTGGAGAACGACCGACATGAAACAAAATTTCAAAGTGGCGGTCTTTTCATCCATTATGCGACCGTATGTGAAAATTTTAAATACGTAATGTTGTGTTATTTGATTTAGAATACTATGATAACATTTTAAGAGTGTAAGCAAGTCCGTATCCTAATTGTGGTTGGAGCCGAAAAATTATAGTGAGGCAGCAAAAGATCCTTAACGGCATCAGGCCATGTCTAAAGAATTCTTGGTGAGGAATAGTGTGGGAAGGGAGAGAGACCAGCCGAGCCACTAGGAAAGTAAGCCCTTCCCGGGTGCTAAAATGAATGTAACCTCAACTATAGAGATCAACCTGCGCCTTTGATTTAAGGATGCCGGCAACGCCAACAAGCATTAGCTCTCCTTAAAAAGGAGGTGATCCAGCCGCACCTTCCAGTACGACTACCTTGTTATGACTTTACTTCAGTCACTAGTCCTGCCTTCGGCATCTCACCCCTGCAGTTAAGGTGACTTTGGGCATGGCTAACTCCCATAATTCGAATTGAAGATTGATAAAAAAAAAAAAAAAAAAAGGTCTATTTCCACGTCATATCCTTAGTTAATTCATTCATCATAGTTAAAAGCAGAAGTTCCAGATGTATTAGTGCTAAAGTCTTATGTTGGACTAATTATTGCAACTTGGAAATGTGTTTGCGTATCTTATTCATTTAGGAACCCACCAAATTGCGACCTGGCCTTGCACGGCCCCTTTCATACTTCTATTGACTTTTTTCTCGTATAATCTTCGGACATCATCTCCCAACCTCTAATTAAGTAGTACTAGTCATGAAGCATTAATCTTGCTCTCGTTTGGGTACCTCAAATATTAGCTCCCTCGACTTTCTAACATATATCTAACTACTCAAAGTCAGAAACTAAATAACTGGTCATCAGGAATTTAAAATTTGGTGGCCTCCATTACCTTACAAGCTAACTGTTTGTTAGTTTGTTTTGTTTTTTTTTTTTTTTTTTTTTAACAAATCAATAATCGATAATGTTTGGACAAAATTCTAAGCAAGTCTCATTCGTCTCTTTATACTATCTATCAAGTACACAATTTATTAGCAAGACATTGTTGATTAAACTGCACAAACCTACACCATGAAAGGAAAAATTGTATATAACAAATCTATTACTTGTTGGAGTTGTCTAATTTTGCGAGACAAAGCTAAGGGTTTTAGCGTGTAAATTTTTTTATAGGCTTTTAATCATTTTAGCTAAAATTTAACTTGAAAATTGAGAGCATGATTAATTATGTTCTAGCACATTATAAATGCCATAAGATTATATTGGAGATTTAAGATTTAAGGGAGATTTAATTAAGTAAACATGGGGAGTATAGTAAAGTGTTTATCAAGTGCTCCTTCTCCACCTCCATTTCCATCCCATGGTTAATCCACATGTCATCCTCCATCTCATGGTACAAGGACAAAATTTGATTTGTCTTAGCCCACAATGAAAAAGTTTAAAATATGGAGAGATTTTTCAATGTGTTCATAACACGGAGCGATACGTCCTATGTTATTATATACAAGTGGAAGAAGTTTTTTTTTTCAAGTGTCCCACCACTTATATAAAAACAAATTACGTATGTGTCTGTGCTCCAAGCAAACTGAAAAATCTCTCCAAAATATGTGCATGAGCTAGGTTGGAATTAATAGAGAGAACACAAAACTCACAGGCCGTAGCCCATACAGTCGTTTGGTCCCTGATTTCCGCATACGTACAGTTTTCATTTTAGGGTTTCATTAGTTTTCCTTTTGAATTATGATCAGCAGTAGGATTTAAAATTAAAATTGGAAACCCTAATATGAGCAGCATGAGGCAAATTTGGCAGACTGAAATCATGCATGAATACTTTGAAGGGGCATGTATAGTGGTAGGCCACCTTCCATCTCTAATATTTGTATGATGAATAATTAGCAATTTATAGAGTGGTTTATTAGGTCAGTAAGACTTATACGCTATAATATATATGATGGTCTATTTGATAATTATTTCGTTTTTAGATTTTTATTTTTGTATGAGAAATAGAGAACAAATACATTAGAAAAAATGAGGGATATAAAAGAGCGGAGGAATGAAGAAGAAATGTGCAGAGAATGATCAAATAATAATTAATGAAAATTTAAAACCAAAGACTATTTAAAGTTATTTTCTCCCGACCATATACAACCCTTTCCCTATAACCAAAATTAAGCTATTTAAAGTTGTTTTCTCCCGCCCACATACAACCTTTTCCCTGATACACTTTTCTCTTGTCTCAAACGAAAAAAATGAAAACTGAAAGCCTAAAAAATGAAATAGTAATTAAAAGTCTCATTTTATTCAGGTTCAAGCATATTTCATGCCAATATTAGTCAACTTAGGATATGAGATGTACAAAGAACTAATTAAGCCACACTTTTGAGTGACATGTTAGTCCAAAGGGAAAATGTACCTCTCATACACAAGTCGTTATAATGGCCACTAAGTAAATTAAGTGGCATAATCACTTGCGATCGATGGCAGCAAAGTTGACATGAAAGAGAAGGATTAAATCAGATTATTTTAAACACTTAGATTTAGGTGAATATTTTCATTAATTCATACTCTTTTAGTGATCGCATAAATTATTTCTTTAATATAGTTTAGACTGATGTCACAGACTCACAAATATTTTAGATTGATGTTGCATGAGCTAGGCTTCTGACCAACATATAGTAGGATATCAATTTTGATTTATAAACCACCATGAGGTGATTTAGTAGTTAGGGACAAATTTTAAGCACGTATTGCATATGAAACGTTCTAAGTTCGATTCCTGACGCATGTGAACTACGCGATGTTAGTTAGGGAGAAACCGAAATGCCTTTTGTGAGTCTTTCGGCCCCCGGAAGAATAGACTGATGTGAGGATGGGAAGGTAAAAATGTCTCACATCGGTAAAATAATGAAAAATTTTGTAAGGGCTTATAAGAGATTGAGCTACTCTCTATATTGTCAATTGGTCTTATGGTGGAACCTCAACTTTCTTCATGGTATCAAAGCAGGTTAGCCCACGTGTGAAGCTCAACGGCCACACGTGCTCAACATCACCCAATTTGTGTTTTCCACGTGTTTGGCTTGAAAATTCGTCATACGTGAGGAGCGTGTGAGAATGTGAAGGTAAAAGAGTCTCACATCGGTAAAAGGAAAAACTTTACAAAAACTTATAAGAAATTGGGTTATTTCCTATATTACCAATTGGTTTTATGATTTGAGAATTCTATTACCACGGCATCTCAAATATATTATACATTATTTACATGCCAATGCGTGCGTGATTAGTTTATAATAAAATTTCAGGGGAGTTCTTCCAATAATTTGAGGCATGTATGACCAACAAGTTTCATAGGTTGCAAATAACGAAATGTATGCCCCATCCCCTAATGACATCTTTCCTCAGCGGCTTACCCTGGGCTATATGCCATAAGAACCATTTTCTTAGGTTTTTCAAGCCCAAGGTCTATTAGTTTGGGCCTAAATTTAACAGTTCCCACCCATTTATTAGTAGGCTTGTATTATGACAAATTTAGCTCATGCTTAAAATACATGAAAATTGATATCGAATTCGTTATTTAACAAGATTTGAATTTAAGATCTCTTACTTTACAAATGAAGATGAATATTGTTAGACCTTAGTACTAAGTTGAAAGTGAGCAAAGGTTTGGAATCCCTAATCTGAGTTTGAACTCCCACAAATGTATTTGTTGAGGTCACCGACTCTGTTTTAGCTTACCTTTTGACCTGGAAGTTAAATGTACATTGTCATCTCATGTGGTACCGGAACTTCATGGAAAGGAGGATTAGTCTGCCCTTGATTTGTGATGGGATACCTCCATTAATTTAGATCCAACCAGGTGACAATGAGGTTGACAGTTGGTTCATATGGACATGTTACCCTCATTGTAGAAGCTTCATAAAATACAGTCTTGTCCGTTCGTTAAATTGGCTAGCCGGCCATTTTTTATTTTGATTAGTTGTTTATTTGTTTTTTGGTTTGTTTGGGATGTCACTTCATAAGATGATATCATATACAGAGGCAGATTGTCTGCCCTCCTGTTTGGGTGTCATTCACATCCCTTCTTATTTTGTGCAGTCATGTTTAAACCACGTCAACATTTTATATTGATTTTTTTTATAGAGATAATAAGACAAAAAACAATAGGAATATAAAATGTTGATGTGGCTTAACCGTAACCGTACAAATAGAAGAGGATGAGAAGAACACCCAAACAGAAGGGCAGACAATCTGCCTCCATCATGTACGAAACATAAAAGAATGTATCTTACTCTACACATTGCCGATCACTAGTACTCTTCTAATACAAATCGAGCTCACATACATATATAAAACATCAATAATATACTCAACAAATGTAATATTACAAGCAACGAAACTCTATTATCTGCACTTTTGTCGGTGGGATTCGCTACTGGTATTGGAGTAGATAAGTTATAATAGAAATAAAGTATACATAAATCATTTCTTAATTTCAGATTATATCCCTCATTTTTGGTGGTATGGCCACTAAAGATGAGAGAAGAGTCTATGATCCCAAGAAATGTATTCGTGGGAGTTGGAATTCAAATTAAGGATTCACAACCCAAAAGAGAAGAGGATCTTCTCCGGATCCACTTTGTAGGAAACCTAGAGATCCCCACATTCTAGTTGTTCATCGTATATCGTGCGATCAGTTTTCGTCAGATACTATTTGTGTTTAATTTTAAATAAAAAAAAATCAAATAATTTTTTATCGCACGATACACGACGAATGACTAAAATGTGGGAATCTCCAAGATTCCCACTCCCCCAATTCACAACCTAAAAGAACACTTGCTACTTTTTTCTAATTTCACACAACAGTATAAATCACCATTGACCTAAACTTTCATATCACACATGATCAAAGGATGGGTCATTGGATGTCCTAAAGCCAAATGAGCGTTAATCACGTGTGAACTCCAGATTAGCCGCAAATAAGCCAAAGTCTAATGGGAGAAGACATGTGCGTTAAACATATTTTGACCTCCTTCTCAAATACCAAACCCCATGTTGAAAATTTTGAATCAAGATCATAAAGCTCACAAAAACAAGAGGGTCCTACCCAGAAACTGAAAGTTTGACGATCCAATCAATATTGGGCATGTGTTTGATGTCATTATTCAGTAAAAAAAAACTTTATTGTTCTCGTTTCACTTATTCAGTAAAAAAAAACTTTAGAGTTTTCGTTTCACGTAAATGATTATTCTACACTCAGGATTGTAGCTGGTGATGTTGGATGCATGATCGTCCGTCAACTTAACTCTTCAAATTTTATAGTCTTTAAATTAATTTGTGTCTTAAGTCAACCTTTTCTAGTAAGCCTTGCATCAGCCATGCATCAGGTAGTGCAAAATTAAAATCTGATTTATATATTTAATTTCGAAATGCTGTCTCAAGTCTCATCGTGCTGATTCATGGCAAAGCTCAACAATAAAATATGAATTCCTTTCTGTTGCTCATATTTTGATTGCCGTGAAAATTGACATGCCGTGCCTTCACAACCACTCTAGTTGCTTTCATTTTGCATACCTAAAATTAATTATTAATTAGAGTAAAGACAGCCGAGAAATCATGTATTTGAGTGAGATCGATTGACCTTTCCTCTATTTCTGGTCAGAATATTCAATGATCGGTCGATCAGCGCATTGTTTTTTTTGTCTTGTTAAAAAAGGACTAGTTGGTTGGCTTGTTAAGACAGTATAGTTTTTCAGTAGTTGGAAAGACTGACAGCGTAATTCAGCTTTTCTTTAGCTATCATCGTGTGTTTCATCAATACCAGAAATTGAATTTAGAACGTACCGTATAGAATATGTGCCTGAAATTTCTCACCAATCACTATATCACTCATGATGGTTAGCATGTTCCACGGTGAAATCCTTGTAGTTAATTTTAAAATTTAGGTAATAAAACATTCAATAATACCAAAATAATGCTAAGGTTGGCTCAAAAAGAAAAATGTTAAACAAGTATTCGTTCACATTACAGTCAGACATGCACATGATGATCCTATGAATGGTGAAAATTTTTCGATTAATTTGGAGGAGTTTTCACAAATAATACAAGTAAAAAAAATTCAGAAATATTTCACTAGATATTATGAGATTTATTTTCCTTTTTGAAGTAATATTTGACTACAATTTCATGAATAATACACAAAAGCTTGTGGAAAAAAAAAAAAAAAAAAAACTAAAAATGAGAAAACCTTGTCATCAATGGTGCAACGGGTTTGGACCGGTGGGAACAATGCGCATTTCGGAACCATCACGGCCGATCTCCGTTCGGTCCGGCTCCGGCCGCACAGGCACCTGTTTGTGAGAATTATGCTTCTGATGATGCCGGTGCCGGTGGACAAATGGGGAAAAGTCGAATTTAGAAGCCAGTAGTACTTTCCGGTTGCTCAAAGTGTAACGACGATCGGAGCTGCTGAGAGGATATGCTGCTGCTTGCGTAGGGTTTATGTGGTTATTGTTATTTTTGGAAACGAGATGAAACCAACCGTGGACGGACAAGAAGAGCAATGAGAGCCAAAGCATGAGACTAAAAAGGTGAGGAATAAGAAGCTTGGAAGCCATGGAAGGGGAGAGAGGGGATGAAAATTAGAGAGTAGTGCATGGGGAAAAAAGAAGATAGAGAATTTGATCTGAAAATTGAGGAATAAAGTGGCTAGGTTTTCTGTGTTTTAGAGAGAGAGAGAGAGGAATGGTGAGGGTTTTGAAGCTTGACAGCTCAAATGTGCTATAAAATGTAAACCAAAAAGCTATCCAGCATAAGAAATGCTAATGTATATTGTACGAATGCTTGATAATCTGGTTGAATATATCATTTTCTGGTATTTTGAGAGAGAGATAGAGAGAGATGGGTTTGTAAGGCAAGGCTAGTAGATGCGGGGAGGGGGGCAGGATTGTCGAGCATTCTTCTACCAATGAAACTTACTTTGCGTTCAAGGAACCAATTAATAAGGTCAATTTTTTTAGAGAATTGTTATTAATACTCCAAAAATCTTATTTTACCCTCTAAATTTTCTATATTAGACCTTGTTAGTTTTTTTATTTTTAATTTCTCTGTTAAATGCTGACATGACTTGAGGTAGGTTCACTCTCTAGTCCAGTTAGATTAAAAAATTAATTAAATATTCAAAAGGGAAGTGTTATTGGCATTCCAAAAATCTCATTTTACACTCTTCACAAGTGTATTTTTTGTCCTAATATAGAAAGTTTTGAAGCGGAGAATGAGATTTTTGAATTGTTAATAACAATTCCCTGTCCACAAACTAAAACTAAAACTATTTAAATATTTTATTAATGAAGTGGGACCCACCCCCTACAAAAGAATCCCCTCACCCTTCTTCCCCCGTCGACCATCTCGGCCGCCGGTCTGTCGATTCCTTCGTCGCTGCTCAAATCTTCCCAGTCCGTCCAAACCATCTTCCCCACCCATCTTCTCCAGAATTCCTCCTCCAACTCTTGCTCCTCTTCTTCTTCCTCCTTCTCCTTCTCTTCGTCTTTTTTGTTTTTTTTTTTTTTTTTTTCAGCGGGTCATATTGCATAGAAGGCAGGAAGACGTAGGAAATGGGAACAATGGGGATTAGGGACACTTGGGATTCCGTACGAAATGGGGATAAATTGCTTTTGGTTTTCTATCATGCCACCAAAAAGCTTAAAGCTTTACCAACCATTTCAATGTCTTCCACCGCTCGGATTAGTTTACAATACAAAGTTACAAAATTGTTTCCAATCCCAAGTGTCAATCTCACTCCCTCAGAAACCCTAATAAAATACCCAAAGCAATTTATCCACAATCTCTACCGCTGCACCCTCACCGTCTCTCCAAAGACGAGGTTGCCGGCGTCAAAATCTCGGGAATTCCATCGTTCGATCCACCATGAACGGCGGCCAAACAGCGTGAACTCTAGGTGGGTCCTGTTCGTAGCACCGAGAGCAGTGGAACGGTGGTGCTGGCAACGATGCTTGTCGCCAAAGTTCGCCGTCAATTCACCTGGGAAGCTCGCCCAAGAAACGGAGGTGGTGGAGATAGGTGGGCTGGGGAAGAAGAGTGAGGGGATGGGTTTGCAGGGGTGGGGTGGGTCTCACTTCTTTAATCAAATATTTAAATATTTTTATTTTTATTTTTGAATATTTAATTAATCTTTTTAATACAACTAGACTTGAGAGTGGATCCGTCTCAAGCCACAACAACATTTAATAGAGAAATTAACAAGAAAACAGACAGATGTTTGACATTACAACAAATTTGTAAGATGAAGTATGATAATATAATTTTTTTAAACATAAAGTATGAGATTGTGGTTCGATCTATAATTAAAGTAGTTTTATATAATTTATCCTAACCTTTTTTTATTTTAACTTTTAACACTATTTTCCTTTCAAATCACAAAGTTCAAACAAGTTGTTGGCCATCTCAAAGATTGGAAAATGGAAAAGGATACTTGCCGAATCATTTTCTTGGGATCCTAAGGATCTTATAATTGTAATCGTTCATCTTACGATCAGTTTTGTTAGGTATTATTTATATTTAATTTTAAATTTTAAAATAATTTAGAACTATACAATATAAGATGAATGATCATGATCATAAGATTCCTATGATCTTCAAGAAAATGATCCGACGAGGATCGCTGCACTCGGAAAATGGTATTACCAACTTAAAATGAAATTTAAAAAGCAAGCTACCCACTGACAGTGAACTACGCTTTTCCTTCAAACCACACAAATTAAAAATTAAAAGAACTGAAAAAAAAAATTAATGAAAATGATTGTAAAATTTCGAGTTTTAACGATAAGGACAAAATAAAAGGTAAAATGAATAGTACAAGGATTGACTTTTTAGTGTAATAATATTATTTTTCTTTAAAGTGAACAGTATCAAGAATTTTTCGTTAAAATTTCCTAAAAAAAATCCACCCAACATCTCTGTGTCTTTATTTCTTAATTACCTATCTATTTCTCATCACAGATAAACTGTCTTCGTCATCCGTGAAAATTAAATCCAAATTAAACTTCGAATTCGATTTACTAAAACTCCAAATTGAATCTCGAATTCGATTTACTTAAATTTACACAAAAACAGTAGAGGCACCAAATCCATCTCCTGGTTGGATATGTCAACGACAACGGAAACCAAATTAATGGGTTTGGCGAGATAAACAACTATGTCGTCTCTCTGGTTAACATTTTGATTTTTACTTTCTATCTTTTAATATAGAGGTGTGATATCCATACATCCCATTTTACTTCTCACACATCTTTTTAATTTTCGATCATCGGATCGAATGAATTGAAGAAGATCAACAGACATAAATTATCCAGAGGTGTAAGAAGTAAAATAAGATGTGTGGATAGAACACCCCTTAATATATAATGTTTCAATTTGATATCCTTTTTCTATATATTTATAAATAAAAAATTCTTATTTAACAAAAAATTAACCTTTTCCTAAATTATAGGGTTAAATTTTTACTCAGGGAGTTATATGAAAGGCCTGAGGGTAATCTCTCAAACGTAAGAGAATTTTGTGAAAACTCGACAAGTCTCAAGAGGTGCTAGTATAATTAACTCTTTAAAAAACACAAGAATGTCTACTATTTTCTCTAAATTACACTCAACTATGACGATATTTTCAATAAATTTACAAAAGTTTGTCCTAAATCCTAGCAAAACGAACATAAATTTCACAGTTTACAAATCCTTCAAAGGATAATGAGTCAAACAAAAGTATGTGAATTCTCGCATTTGTCACACTAAATCTGCCAGCAAAGACGAAGTAAAAATCAGCAGTACTCCACCTAATACACATGACAAGGGAAACTACACCAACGCTGCAGACCTAAGCGCCGCTTTTGGTTACTTCGAGCCTTTCAGATCCTCGAAATCCATACCGTTGGCTATATCATCCTCAATAGCATCAGCTTTGGCGTTCAAGTCATGTTCCTTAGCCTTCCTCCCAGTCTATATCGTCCTCATCGTCTGCTGTAGCATCAGCTTCAACGTTCAAGTCATTGATCTTATAATTTTCTTCATTACCTGTAGCGTGTACGGAGAAAAGATGTAAAAGAAAGAAAGCTGTGCAGCAAGGGAAAATTCAAGCACATCAATGAAGAATCTGTCACAATGCATTGCAAAACTTGAACTTCTATACAGATATAAACTGCAAATCAAAAGCTTGAATATGCACACAAAATAAATCGACACATGTATTGGCTATAAGTGACCATCGTGTGCCATTCTCATTGTTCGTCAACATTAACTTAGAGGACGGGAATACAAATTCAAGAACAATCTGAAATTGAACACTGATTGCCAAATAATAACATTTACCTGTAACTGGAGCCTCTTCCCAGTCTACGTTATCTTCTCCTTCATCCTCGCGCTTTGACTTCATGCCAATCTGACGATTAGGAGACACTGCAGAGGGACCATCAGAGATGTGTGTTTCCTGCTCTTTCTTTGCTTCTTCTTCTTGCTGTCTTTTTATTAGAGCAGCATAATATGCTTTTAAATACTCATCCTGTAAAACAATGAGGATACAATTACATATTAACTCAAAATTTTAATTAATTTGTTTATTTATTTTGAAGGGGGATCTCAAAGCAAGAAATTATTGCAGACCTGTATATTTTTCTCATTATTTTCAGTACTGAATTTTTTGTCTTCTGAGAACTCTGGAGCTGCTACACTTCCACTGCCATCCATCTTTTGCTCCTGCTTGACCTCTCCACGTTGTTCTTTCGTAAGGTTCATGCCTTGCTTGATCATCCAAGGTGGCAAAACTTTCAGGCTTGTACCATCAGCTTCAGATTTTATATCCTTGCCCTTTCCTTCAACCCCAGAGAAATCAACTTCAACCTGCAAACCGAAGATATTTCAAATACTTACAGTTGATTATATTTTTACCATATAATCATTACTGCCAAATCAAAAATAGTTATCCCAAACACACCTCAAGGCTGATAGACATGATTGGAAGTTTGGAGGGAGGGGGGACAAGAATTACCTTTGTATCTCCAAGAAAGGGCATTGGAGTTCCACCGTATCCCATCCCATGCGAAGATTTGGAGGGATCCATGGCACTAGACTCACCATTCTCTGCACGTCTGGCAGCACTAGCTCGTGCTTCCCAAGCTTGGAGACTTCCAAATTCAGGAGGAGATAAGTCTTTAACTCTATTAATTTGTTCCATTAGAGGCTTCAGCTGTACCTGCATTCATTCATTTAATTAACTCATAGAAGAATGACAACAGTAGAACTGTAGAATACACAAATACAATTAAGTGCAACAATTTATGTTAAACATTAACTTGAATAATGCAGAAGCATAAACACAAACAATAAGGAGTTGTAATGCTAGCATAATAGTATAGAATTAGCAATCAATAGTTGCCCAGTTGAAGACCGGCGTATTCAGAGTTTACAAATGCAAAGAATGAATAAAACCCTACGCATGCCAAGAGATTACAATAATAGAATGAAGTAGAGACATACAAAACACTTAGGACAAGACCTTGCAACAACCCTCAGAAAATAAATTTCTTGAACTTTGACCACCAAAACCATGA